AGCCTCAGTTCTCTCACCTGTAAAATGGGGATAACGATTGTACATACCTTGTATGGTTGCTGTAAGATTAAAATTTAAAGTGCATGGAGGAAATCAGAACTGTGGTACATAGGAAGCATTCAATAAAAAGTAGTTCTATTTTTAAAATAATTTTCATGATACTTGTCGAGCTACTAGGTACCTGGTAGACAGGGTTGTTCTGAGTGTCCGTTCTAATAATGGCCATGACTTTCTGTTTTTCCCATAGCCAGTAGACAAGATTTGACTCTGGAGGGGATGTCTGGGCCAACAGGTATTTGGAGTCTGGAGAAAAAGCCATGCTAGTAAATTTCTGAACTTGGAAGTCAAAATTATTAAGAACTCTGCGCTTCCGGCAAGGGATGGATGACAGTTCATAAATGGTGATGACAGGTTTTTCTTGCACAGTCTCAGAGATAGCGAGGTACCGCCGATTGGGGCTGATGGACAAGGCCAACATGGCCTGACTCCTGTCTGAGCCTGCAAACAGAGGAAAAAGGAGATGAGGGGAGGTCACACTTTCACCAGGATTCAACAGGAAAAAGGCACAGTCGTGTGTAGGGGGGAGATCCCATAAGCGCCGAGGCAGGAGCAAAAAGCCTCAGCCTATTTCCATATAAATAATGAAGAAGAAAGTAACTAAAAATATAACCATAGTAGTTACTAGTTATTTATATGTGATCTTAGCTATTCATAGGTGATCTTAATTCTTTCACTAATGCCTCTCAGGTCGGAAGTGTGAACCTGGGGTGATATTGTGAAATGAATAACACTAAGGCAAGATGCTCTAAGCCCTCTGTCACGCCCGCATAAGGGCTGCTGGAGGGCGCCTTGGCTGTGCGGCAGCGCCAGAGCTGGGAAAGCGCCCGCTGTTTAGCCAGCTAGGGAAGGAGATGTCCAAAAGAGCTGAGACGTCTCCTTTTCTGGAGGAGTTAGTTGTGGCAAGGCCTGATGGCTGTCAGGTGCACCCGCAGACATCCGGGGGCTTAACCATCTCTGTGTGATGCTGTGCTTCAGTGGTCATGTTCCATATCTACTCTCATGTTCTGCTTCTGGACCTGGTTCCTTTTTTCTTAGAAAAGATCATCAGTAATAGTAACACAAATTTTAATGTTTTAGTTCTTTCTTGTTAAGTATGGAAAAAGTGCTGATGCATCATGCTCCTTACTTCACTTTGGGTGCCACAAATTCCTGAGCCCCTACCTGAATGACACGTGATGTACCCCAGTCTCCGACCACCAAGACCATGCCCTGCCTACCCCCAGCTTTGCAACTCAATAAAAGTCAGAGAATCCCAGCATTTGGGGCCACTGCTGGTCTCCGCGATTTGGGTAGCAGTGGACCCCTGGGCCCAAACTCTCTTTTCTCGATTTCCGTTTCTTGTGTCTTTTATTTCTACAATTTCTCGTCTCTGCACCAGCCAGGAGCGGCTCACAGAACCCTGCAGGGCTGGACCCTATATCTAGTGCCCAACATGGCAGTGGACTCTACAGTAGTGGGCACTGTAGTGGACAATGGTGGACACAAAGAAGAAAGGTGGCCTTGGTATAGCTGTGTTTGGGCATTATAAAAATGACTACGGGCCAGGTGCGGTGGCTCATGCCTGTAATCAGCACTTTGGGAGGCCAAGGTGGGTGGATTACTTGAGGTGGGGAGTTTGAGACCATCCTGGCTAACATGGTGAAACCCTGTCTCTATAAAAATAAAAAAATGAGCTGGGTGTGGTAGCATGTGCCTGTAATCCCAGCTACTTGGGAGGCTGAGGCAGGAGAATCGCTTGAACCCGGGAGGTGAAGGATGCAGTGAGCCGAGGTTGCACCACAGCACTCCAGCCTGGGCAACAGAGTGAGACTCCATCTCAAAGATAACAAAAGAAAAAAAAAACAAAGAAAAAAACCTTGGAGTATGGAGTTGAGATGGTTTGGAATTCCAGAAGGAGATAACAGAACAAAAAAGATACCTGTCCTTAAATCCAGGAATCTCAAAGAATCCCTAGGTAGGAATAAAAAATGAAAAAACAAAACAAAACAAAACCCACTATACTCTTTGTGTGTGTGTGTGTGTGTATGTGTGTGTGTGTACACATGTATATATGGTGTATATACAAATATACATATATGGTATGCGTATATATGGTGTGTATATTATACATATACATGTATATGCTGTATATATATACACACATACCATATATACATGGTATATATATACCATGTATACATATACACACATACCATAGACAGAGAAGATATTAAACATCCAGAAAAAAAGATAATCTATAGACAGACGACGGTGATAAGCTAATTTTTTAACCACAGCAACAAAACAGAAGCCAAAAAACCACAATGGAAAATGATCTATAATTTGCTGATAAAAACTGTATACCTGTTGTAACAATCTTTCAGAAGTGAGGATAAAATAAAGTCATTTTCAGACAAAGACTGGGAGAGTTTATCAACATATTATCAGTAAATGCAGAAGGAAAATGATCCCCCCGGGAATAACTGATTTGCAAAGAGTAATGGTGGGCAAAGAGTTTAGTAAGTATGAGAGCAAATATAAATTAATGTTGGCTGCATAAAACCATAATTTAATTAATATTGGAAAGTCATCTGTTCTTTTTTGTTTTCATTTTTATTTTTGAAACAGGGTCTTGCTCTGTTGCCCAAGCTGGAGTGCCTTACCCTCCCAAGTAGCTGGACTGTAGGTATCTGCCACCATGTGTGGCTAATTTTTAAATTTTTTGTAGAAATGGAGTCTTTCCATGTTGCCGAGGCTGGCCTTGAACTCCTGGGCTCAAGCAATCCTTCCCCTTTAGCCTCCCCAAGTGCTGGGATTACAGGCGCAAGCCACCATGGCTGGCCAGTCATATAATCTTATATAAAACTCAGAATATGCAGCAATAAAATTTTGTATTTATTCAGGGGCAGGGGATGAAGCACAGCAAATTAGAAAAAGAAAAGAACTTCCTTCACCTGATAAGGGGCATTAACAAATGCCTACTGCAAACATCCTTCTTTCTAAGGAAATGTTAAAAGAATTCTCTTTAAGATCAGAAACATGCAGCAGGATGTCCACTTTTATTGCCCCTATTCAACACTGTCTGGAAGTGGTTACCAGCACAGGTAACACAAGAAAGAAAACCATTGATATTTGCAGATAGTCTGTGTGGAAATCCCTGCGTAATCTATAGATAAATCATTAGAATTAATAATAATTTACCAAATATGCTGGAAATAAACATAAATAAATAAAAGTCTACTGTATTTAATATAGTTACTCCAACAGAATATTATGGGGTTGATAAATCTGACTTTATTAAAACTAAGAATTTTTGTCCATCAAAAGATACTGTAAGAAGAGAGAAAATGCCCCAAACTTATTTGCAAGACATATGTCTTACAAATTATTGGTATACAGAATAAATTGTGCATGTAAATCGATAAAATTGCCCAAAAATATCCTGCACAAAAAACTATAAAAAAACAAGTAAAAGACTTGAACAAGGCATTTAACATATGACCAAATAGGAATAGCCCGTAAACACATAAATGGACACTCATCATCATTAATGATAGAGAAATGCAAACGAAAACCACAATTCCTTTTCTCAACCGCTAGATTAGCAAAAAATTAGGAAGTTGGACAATACCAAGGGTTGGCATGGTTGGCAAAGAATGAGAACTCTTATGCACTCCTGGTAAGAATGTAAATTGGTACTATCATATTGCTTAGTAATTTTAGTCCTGTCTGTGTGCCCTAGACTCTGTACAAATAGAGGAATGTACATGCATGCAAGAATGTTCATAGTAGTATAGTTTATAATAGAAAATGGCTGTTACTTCCCAAATGTCCCTCAACACTAGAATGAATACATATATTTGAGACATTACATTCATATGAGGGAACACTCTATAGCAATAAAATGAACTTGGTTGTATGTATCAAGATGCATGAATCTCAAAAGCATGATACTGAACTGATGCAGCAAGACACAATACAGGGAGAAACACCAGAACTGGTAATATTCTATTTCCTATGTTGGGTGGCTGGGTTCACATTCTATTTCCATTCTATTGTAATTCTTTTAAATATTACATATACGTAGGGTACATTCTTTTGTATGTATATGTTACAATACAAGGTGTCGATGCAACCAAGGATGGGAAAATGGATTCCATAGTTGCAATCATTTATATCATCAACAGGACCAATATGAATAGAAATAAGGGCTGTAATATTATACAAATGGTTATTTGTGACATGGGTTAAAGTTTACAGTGTCTTCATCATACATGGATTCAAAAGGTGATGTAATGAAGGTGGTGTGCTCAGGAAAACTGTGTTAGACAACTCAAAAAGTGGCTCTGGTGATGACAAAGACAATGATACTGAAGATATGAAAAGAGGAATATTTTCATCAAAATATCATAAAACGTTTTCATGAAATCACAGTGAAAAAAGCACTTTTAAATTAACATTTTATATGTGATTTTAACTACGCACACGTGACTGATTAATCTAGTTTCATAATACAAGTTGCCATTTATTTCCTCTACATTTATAAAACTGCATATATATTCAAACTGGCCAAAATCTTTCTTTCCAGTCATCACGTTGGGATTATGGGGTTACATGTGGCACATACCATTCCTGTATATGTTAGAATGGAAAGAGTTTTACCTGGAATGAACTTTTGCCATTTCTGATCCACATTGTATTTCACACAGTAATTTCCTGAAGGAAATATAATGATCTGTTCATCGAAGTAGAAGATATTGTTGGCCACGTGGGATCGAAGACCAAAAACATGCAGCGACTGAGCTACCACTGCTGACATCGTTTCACGCCGAAGAACTCTGCTGAAGATAGGGGCAGCGCTTGAGAGTGGAGAGCAACGCCAAGCCTTGGCCCCGCCCCCGGCCGGGACAAGACCCGGCCTCCAGGACACGCCCCTTCCCGCCCTTGCCCCTCCCCTTCCCGGCCCGAGTTCTCCAAGGCACCCCTACTCCCGCGGCTCCTTTTTCTCCTTTTTCCTTGTACGCTCACTGCTACCAGCTCCTTCTGGCGACCCCCAGGTACCCACTCCTACCTTTAGCTTCTCTCTGGGTCAGCAGACCAGGTATCCAGAGGCGCTACCTGTATGGATCCCAAGCGACCCGGGCACGTTCAAAGGCCTTAGCGGTTTCTATAGCAACGACAAACCGGAAGTATGGTCTGCCGCCGGAAGCGGAAGTCCCAATCAAAGAGTTGAGCAGTAGCTTTGAGTTGCAGGCGCTGGTGCGAGTTGGTGGCACGTGGAGCCAAGGTGTGGGAGTAGGGGGCTGAAGGCAGGCAGCAGTGGCCAGGGCCGCCCTCTGCTAGCCGCTTGGGTCTCGGGGAACCCGGCTTCTTCCCGTAGGTGTGGGACTGGCGTGCGGCTAGATGGACACTCCCCCGGTCTCGGGTTCGGAGTCGGAGTCCGATGATTCCCTAGTCACAGACAGAGAGGTAGGTGTCAGCGGAGCTCGCGGTGGGTGGGCGTGGGAGAGGGGGCCTTACCCCCCTGGTAGTGACCGTGATTGTGTCCTGCAGTTGCAGGATGCGTTTTCCCGAGGGCTTCTGAAGCCAGGCCTCAATGTCGTGCTAGAGGGGCCGAAGAAGGCCGTGAACGACGTGGTGAGCTGGGGCGCTGGGTACTCGGACAGGGGATGAGCACCAGGCGCTGTTGGGCTTGGGAGACCGATTCTTGACCCAGGAAAGACGCACCCTGCACTTTGCCAAGAGGGTCAATTACCTGTCTGGGTATTGGGGATTAGTGGTTTGTCCCTTGCCCTAGCACCCTGTGCTTGTGAAAGACAAACTCAAGAGCTTCCCTTCTTAAGAGTTTAGTGTCTGGATTTCCTAGAATGGCCTGAAGCAGTGTTTGGCAGAGTTCAAGCGGGATCTGGAATGGGTTGAAAGGCTCGATGTGACACTGGGTCCAGTGCCGGAGATCGGTGGATCTGAGGCGCCAACACCTCAGAACAAGGACCAGAAAGCTGTTGATCCAGAAGACGACTTCCAGCGGGAGATGAGTTTGTATGTTTGTTTTCAAATATTGGAGAAGTTGAGTATTCTTATGCAGGAGAGTGAGAAAGAGGAGAAATTAGTAAGCCTGCACTCAGAATAGGCAGAGGAGTAGGCAGAACGGCTTCTTTTGACTCAGAATAGCTAGGAGATTCTCCCTGTTTGAGAAAAGAGCTCCTTGGTCCATGGTCACGATTCAAAGTCCAGTTTATGGGCTAATTTGAAATATTCATGTTAAAGCTTTTTGTGCATGCTTCAGTTATTAGAACAAAAAACATTGCTTATGGGATGGTCTTGTGTGGAATTGCTTTAGTAATTACATTAAGATTCCATAATTTAGATTAGTTTGTGTTAATGGGTACCTTTAGAGTAGTCATTCTCTAAAACTAATTTATTTTTAGCAACATCCCTCCCCTTTTTAAAAAATGGTATATGGCTACATTTGTTTTTCTTTCTTTCTTTCTTTTCTTTTTTCCTTTCTTTCTTTTTCTTTCTTTCGTCCCACTCTGTCGCCCAGCCTGGAGTGCAGTGGTGTAATCTTGGCTTACTGCAACCTCTGCCTCCCAGGTTCAAGCAATTCTCCTGCCTCAGCCTCCTGAGTAGCTGGGATTACAGGTGCCACCCCCATGCCTGGCTAATTTTTGTATTTTTAGTAGGAGCGAGGTTTCACCATGTTGGTCAGGCTTGTCTCTAACTCCTGACCTCGTCATCCACCTGCCTCAGCCTCCCAAAGTGCCGGGATCACAGACATGAGCCACCGTGCCTGGCCTACATTTCTTTTAGATTCTGAATTAGTGAAGTTTGGTTACGGTTTTTGTTTGTTCTTGCTGATGGAGGTCAGATTTTGGGAGTCCGGTGAAAAGGAACATAAGGCCTCTCTCCTTTACCTCATTACACATTTTGTCCTACAATTCTCAGCTACCGCCAAGCCCAGGCCGCAGTGCTTGCAGTCTTACCCCGCCTCCATCAGCTCAAAGTTCCTACCAAGCGGCCTACTGATTATTTTGCAGAAATGGCCAAGTCTGATCTGCAGATGCAGAAGGTAAGAAATAGAAATTTTCATCTAGAAAGGCAAAACTTTGTACTTAAGCATATTCAGCTGGCTTAGAAAGATAGGTATGAGTCCAATAATGGGGAGCCAGTTGTCAGAGGACAATTATTACCTCTTCCAGAGATGGGCTACTTCAGAGTCATGCCAGTCACCACCAATTAGATGCATATAAGAATGACATTTTTTCTAAATCAGCAATTAAGGAGAGGAACAGCACTGTGAGAAGTGTGGTTCCTGAGGTAAAGATGGCCCATTGCATTTCCTAGCTGGCATGGCCACGGCATGGTGTGCAGAGAAGACAGCATTCTTCTTGTGCTCTTGCCACTGACAGTGCTAGAACTTATAGACAAATTACTTTTCTCTGGGCCTCAGTTTTCTCATCTATAAAATGAGGGATTCTTAGATGCTCAGATGTAGTACAGTGAAGAGTTGGGTAGAACTTGGACCTCATTTAACTTTGGAGGAGGGGATTGCCAGCATGTAATCCAGGATGTACTCGGCCTTCCTTAGCCATGGGTTTGCATCTGTGGATTCAACCAAACTCGGATCAAAAATATTTGGGGAAAAAAAAATTTGAAAATGTTGCAGAAAGAAAACTTGAATTTGCCATGTGCTGAGAACTACATTGAATCCATGAGAATGAGGTGATGTGTAGCACTGTATTTGGTATTATAAGTAATCTAGAGACTATTTAAAGCAGAGTCTGGCAACCAAGGACTGGTTTTGCGGATGAAACCGGTCTGGGGGAGCGGATGGTTTCAGGATGAAACTGTTCCACCTTAGATCATCAGGCGTTAGATTCTCATAAGGAGCACACAACCTAGATCCCTTGCATGCACAGTTCACATTAGAGTTCATGCTCTTATGGGAATGTAATGCTGCCACTAATATGGCAGGAGGTGGAGCTCAGGTGGTAACGCTTGCTTGCCCACCACTCACTTCCTCCAGTGAGGCCCGGTTCCTGACAGGCCACAGATTCATAGCACATTCATAGCAGTCTGTGGTCCGGGGATTGAAGTCCCCTGATTTAAAGTATACTGGAGGTAAGTGTAGGTTGTATGCAAATGCTACACCATTTCTATATAAGGGACTTGAGCATCCGTAAATTTTGTTGTCCATAGTGGGTCCTGGAACTAATCCTCTACGGCAGGCATCCCCAAACTATGGCCCGCGGGCCACATGCAGCCCCCTGAGGCCATTTATCCGGCCTCCCGCCGCACTTCAGGAAGGGGCACCTCTTTCATTGGTGGCCAGTGAGAGGAGCACAGTATGTGGCGGCCCTCCAACGGTCTGAGGGACAGTGAACTGGCCCCCTGTGTAAAAAGTTTGGGAATGCCTGCTCTACGGATACTAAGGGATGACTGTATTTATATAGTACCCTTGGGTCTCATGCTGGATTTTAGAGAGCTTTTGTCTTGGTAGTAGTTCACCTTCTCACTGTGAACTCTGTGCTTGTTCTCACTGACAACTTCTCATCCTTTAACGAAAATGTATGTGTTTGACTGAAAAGGCTAGGTACCTGATAATCTGCCTGGGTTTTTATTGTATATGTGGTATACTACAAAAGAGCGGCTGCATACTGGTTTCCAGCCTCAGTCTACTGACGGTAGAAATGGGGAGAAATTTGTCTTCTTTCCTGGATTTCAAATAGGCAGTTTGTGTAATGAAACAGACAGCACACAGGGAGTGGGAAGGTGGCTTTCCATCTCTGGCTTCACTGTGACCCTTTTGGTAAAGTGTTCAGCCTTTGGGCCCCGTTGTCCTCAGGGGTTGGAATCGATGATTTACGAGTTCCACAGTTTAAAGATTAGGGAATATCTGTTCCCTGCTCTAGTGCATCCTAAGCAGTGGTCATTCCAGATTCAAATACCATAAACTGACAGCATTTTGTGTTGTAGATTCGACAGAAGCTGCAGACTAAACAGGCCGCCATGGAGAAGTCTGAAAAGGCTAAGCAGCTGCGAGCACTTAGGAAATACGGGAAGAAGGTGAGAAGGAAAGTGTGCAGGGAACAGGAAGAGGTGGAGTGTGTGTGTTAGATGAGATTGCTGTGCTCTGACTTGGTCCCCTGAACTGAACTGTGTGTTGATCGTGTGTTTACCATCTCTCAGTGTATGTGCTGGTATTCATGAGCACAATCTTGCCTGGATATGAGTGCTTCACCAGGAGTAGCATGGTGACTGCAGGCGAGCCATTCACCTCTCTGGGCTTTAATTTTCACCTCTATACACTGGTTCCAGATGAGTGGTTTCCAAACCTGACCTTACAGCAAAATCACCAGGGCAAATTTTTCAAAACAGAATTCTAGACTTCAGAATCCCTGGGAATCTGTACCTGTTTCCCTCTCTTCCCCAAAAGCTTTCCAGGTGATTCTGAAATGCATCCTGGTTTGGGATTCATTGGCCTGTGTGATAATCATGTCCCTGAAGAAGTTATTGTAATGATTGTCACCCAATCTGAAAGATTGCTTGTGTGTTTGAACTATGAATGTCTGAGTTCTAATGTAACACCAGACCAGGAATACTTTTCTTGGTTTTCCTTTTCTATTTCATGGTCATTTAAGAAAGAAGATGATGGGTTTTAAAGTTAGAATTATGAGAAGAAATGAATGGGAGGAAGATTGGCTTGGGTGTTGAGACTTTGTCAACATTCGGACATAAGCACTTATGATCTGGGCTGCAGAACTCTTGTCCATATGTGGGGTCGTTTCACTGATACATTCTGAGCAAAGTAAGAATAGGCCGGATCCTTTCCTCTACAAAAGGCCTGCTACGGTTTTATCGTTTCTTTGATCTGGAGGTGGATGGCTGAGATTATCTCAAAGACACCGGTAATTAATTTAACCTAACCAAAGTTATGAAAAGCAAAGACAGACTCACTTGGGCCTTTTAGTTCACTGTTTCTAATTTGAGGAAACACTGGGGAAGAGGTTGTCAGCTGGAGTGAATTTGCTCCCCAGGATTTTTTTGTGACGCCTGGAGATAGGTTTAATTGTCAAATTTGGGAGTGAGGGTGCTACTGGCATCTACGGGTAGAGGGTAAGGGTGCTGCTGAATGTCCTGCAGTGCAGGACGGGCCCCTCCCCCAGCAGTCTGTCCACAGTGTAGCAGTATCAAGATTGAGACACTCTTAAAGTGTCTCCTTTTATCCTTAAAACCTTTTTCTTTTCTTTACCTGGGGACATTGTTTTTTTTTTCTCTTCCGTTTAGTACTTTCATGCCTAGTAACAGTGAGTTAAATAATCTGTCCAAATATGATGGGAAGAATTGGATGTTGGCTTGAACATAATTTGCTACAGTTTTGTCGGCAGGATTGTGTAACAGAGTGAGTGCTGGCTTTGGAGGCAAACAGCCTGGGTCATCTCAGCTGTGCACTTTTTCACTATGCAACTTGGGCAAGTTAACTTCTCTGTGCTTCAGTTTAGGGGATAACACAAATTTCAACTTCACTGGATTGTTATGAGATAGATACATCTTTGTCTATGAAGAATATACCTAGATCTGAGAATATACTAAGAGCCTTTAACATAGCTTTTGGCACATAGTAAATGTCAGAGTAGCAGTATTAATCATGGTGTTGCCATTAAGAGAATGGACACTGGAGTAATGGCGTGGAATGGCTGTAACTGTCCTTGTGTTCATATAACAGGTGCAAACAGAGGTTCTTCAGAAGAGGCAGCAGGAGAAAGCACATATGATGAATGCTATTAAGAAATATCAGAAAGGTTGGTACCTCTCTCTGGCAGGGGAACGAGGGTAGCAGGTACTTTAGAATTGATCTGAACACTTAGTGCTTTGGAGCCTTCTTGTTTGATGTGGATCTATCAGATCTAAGTTTTGGGAATGGTGTTGGGGAGCAGGATGTGACTTTTAAAATCAATGTGGCAAATAACAGCCTTATATGGTGGTTTAAACTTTTAAAATACAATGGTGCTGATCAGAACTACTTCTTCACTTTCAGGCTTCTCTGATAAACTGGATTTCCTTGAGGGAGATCAGAAACCCCTGGCACAGGGCAAGAAGGCAGGAGCCAAAGGCCAGCAGATGAAGAAGGGGTGAGAAGTGTTTTGGCGTGGTTTCTCTCTTCTGGGAGGTGCTGTGGGGCCATAGGTCATGAGGATGGCAGGCATAGCAACCCTACCGGCTCAGCTGTGAGTCCAGAGAATGCAGCTGCTGCCTGTGGCTGAGACTCCTAGCACTGTGTGATGGATAATTTTAGCCATGTCAGTCTTTGAGGAGTAACAAGAGGCCCTTTTTAAACTTACTTTATTTACTTCTTATTTATTTATTTATTTATTTATTTTAGGCAGAGTCTAACTGTCACCCGGGCTACAGTGCAGTGGTACAATCTTGGTTCACTGCAACCTCTGCCACCTGTGTTTAAGTGATTCTTGTGCCTCAGCCTTCCGAGTATCGGGAACTACAGCTGCCCGCCACCACACCCAGCTAATTTTTGTATTTTTAGTAGAGGTGGTATTTCACCACATTGGCCAGGCTGGTCTTGAACTCCTGGGCTCAAGTGATTCACCCACCTCAGCCTCCCAAAGTGCTGAGATTATAGGCGTGACCAGGGCAGCCAGCCTAAGAAGGTACATTTAAGTATGTGGCACCCTTTAAGTGAATGCTGAGTAAAAGTTGATTCCACATCACACAGTGTGATGGTTGAGAGTTCAGGCCTGGGACTCAGACCCTGGCTCTGCCACTCAGTAGTAGGGCAGTTTTGAACAAGTTACCGTACCTTTCTAAGTGCTAACTGCCTCATCTGCTAAGTTGAGGAAAGAGTATCTGCCTCATAGTATGAAGATTAAAAGAATGCAGGCTCTTCAGTGTTTTGCATACCTGGATACCAGGCCTAGGGGAAATGATCATTTCCGTGTAAGATAGTAAGTGCTATGATAGAGGCATTTGGGGAGTAGTATTGAGGGAGCTTTTAGAAATAGCTGACATGGGCTGGGCATGGTGGCTCATGCCTCTAATCCCAGCACTTTGGGAGTCTGAGGTGGGCAGATCACCTGAGGTCAGGGGTTGGAGACAGCTTGGCCAATATAGCGAAACGCTGTCTCTACTAAAAATACAAAAAATTAGCCAGGTGTGTGGTGGGCGCTTGTAATCTCAGCTACTAAGGAGGCTGAGGCAGGAGAATCGCTTGAACCCAGAAGAAGGTTGCAGTGAGCCAAGATCACGCCATTGCACTCTAGCCTGGGCAAAAAGAGTGAAACTCTGCCTCAAAAACAAAAACAACAACAACAAAACCTGGCAGGGTCTGGAGATGGATTTCTGGATTTCTGGAGGAGGGTTTGACTTGAGCATTGCTTGAAGCATGAGTAAGAATTAACCACGAGCATAGGAGAGAAGCTGAGTTTGGGAAGAAGGAAGAGCTTGAAAGAGCAAAGCCATGGAGACGTGAAACCTCAGGGTTTTGTGAGGAACAGTAAGCCCTTGATGTCACTGGGAGTACAGTGCAAGGCAAGGAGGGGTGCGATGTGACTGGGGAGACCTGGGCTGTTGGTTTGCCTTGTTGGGGAGCTTGGAGTTTGTCCAGAAGGCAGTGGGGAGACTAGGTTATAGGTTGTACTGACAATAATGAGCAGGTCATAGTCAGGTTTTAAAAAACATTACAGTGGATTTTGTATAAGTGTCGGACTTGAGGGAAGCTGGGAAATTGACAAGGAGACTAGTCCCGATGTGTGATGATAATAACCTGACAGCGGCAACTGAGGGAGAAGAGAAGATGGATTGCAGAAACATTTAAGAGGTGAAATGAGCAGGACTCAGTAATTGAATTGGGTATAAAGAGTGAGAGAAGAACCAAGGCAGACTCCCACATGTTAGCCTGTGTAGTCTGGGTTGGCAGGAGCTGTGCCAGCCTCAAGTGAGCGCATATGTACAGGAAGTAGAGCCAGTCCAGGAGATGATGTGAATTTGGAGATGCTGAATTTGAGATCCCTATTGGATGACCTGTCTTACATTTGAATGTTAACTGCATATATTTACCCTTGAGAGGAATAGACACAACTGAGGATGATTTAACGAGATTTAGTTAAAATAGAAAGCTTTCCAAAGACAGTAGGAAGCCACGTGATGTATGTGGAGCCTTCCCTGCTTCTTGCTTTATTTTCCTGCCCTGGTGGTTAGAACTGTAAATAGATGAGCTAGGTGAGTTTATCTCGAGAGGCTGTAGCAGAGGATTGTGGGGCCAAGGATGAGATTCTGGGTCACAGTAGTGCCTAAGGGGCTTTGCTCATAGAAAGGAAACTAAGAGTATTGCTGGGCCATCAGATTCATTAGACTTAACAGTGCTGCGGGTGACATCTAGGACCATTCTTTTCCAGGCCCAGTGCTAAACGACGGTATAAAAACCAGAAGTTTGGTTTTGGTGGAAAGAAGAAAGGCTCAAAGTGGAACACTCGGGAGAGCTATGATGATGTATCTAGCTTCCGGGCCAAGACGGCCCATGGCAGAGGCCTCAAGAGGCCTGGCAAGAAAGGATCAAATGTAAGTGAGCCCAGGTGCCTGGGTGAGGCGCAGGCTCAGCCTCCCCGTTCCACTTCCAACCCTCCCCACCGCCTTCTCTTCCGTCCATCCTCACCCTTGGGCAGAAGGCAAGCTGCTGTGTGACCAGATGTGGTATTTCTTTTTCTGTAGAAGAGACCTGGAAAACGAACAAGAGAGAAGATGAAGAACAGAACGCACTGAACAGCATCTTTGAATACAAAGAACCGAGAAAAAGGAATGAAGACTTTGCATTTCACAACACACTTTTATCCCTTCTGTTGGTATCACGTTGTAAACATTTCTTTCAATAACCAAAAAAAAATCATTAAACAAACACATGTCTTTGGTAAAATAGTCCAGACTAAAAGATTTAGAAGCAGCTGGGCGCGGTGGCTCAAACCTGTAATCCCAGCACTTTGGGAGGCTGAGGCGGGTGGATGACGAGGTCAAGAGATCGAGACCATCCTGGTCAACATGGTGAAACCCCGTCTCTACTAAAAATACAAAATATTAGCTGGGCGTGGTGGCATGTGCCTGTAATCCCAGCTACTCAGGAGGCTGAGGCAGGAGAATTGCCTGAACCCAGGAGGCGGAGGTTGCGGTGAGCCGAGATCGCGCCATTGCACTCCAGCCTGGGTAACAAGAGCGAAACTCCATCTCAAAAAAAAAAAAGAAAAAAAGATTTAGGAGTTACTTTGCATATTGAATGACACTGCTATCTATGTAGACATTGAGTTCAAATTGCCTTCATTTTTATGATAAATGATTATTTAACTGACACCTCCCTCATTTCCTTTGCCTCATCCTTCTAAATAGTTATATTACAGTCAGTTCCTGTAGAGCCCAATGCATTGTGGTAAGATTTCCTTTGTGGTACAGCTTTTGGTTTTCCTCCAGTTAACCTTCACCTTGCATTCTTCTGCTTGCCTAATCTTCCTTCTGTATTCTTACATTCTCCGTTCTTTCCAGATGCTTTGTCATTTTACCTACTGTATAATTTTTCTCCTATAACCTAGATATGCCACACTACTATCACCTTTTTTCTAGACCTTCTAAGTTGGCATCATTATTTCCAGAATCCCATATTTTCCCATCTTGGCATATGCCTTCTTTTTCTGTGTACCATTTTTTATTATCTTACTAAGAAAGGGAAGATGAGAGGTAAACTTTTTATCTCCTTGCATTTCTGAAATTGCCTTTAATTTGGCTGATAGGAATTTCCTCTTTAGAATTTTGCAGGCACTGTTTCTAGGTTTTTTTCAGTTCTGCTTTGGGGGAGAGAGATTTCTTTGTTTTTTAAAATCTTTTTTTTTTTTCCTCGGGACATCGTCTTATTCCATCGCCCAGGCTGGAATACACTGACACCATCTTGGCTTGCTAGAACCTCCGCTTCCTGGGTTCAAGTGATTCTGCCTCAGCCTCGTGAGTAGCTGGGATTGTAGGCATACGCCACCTTGCCCAGCTAATTTTTGTATTTTTAGTAGCGACAGGGTTTCACCATGTTGGCCAGGCTGGTCTTGAACTCCTGACCTCAACTGATCCACCTGCCTGTGCCTTCCAAAGTGTTGGGATTACAAGCGTGAGCCACTGCCCAGCCTACAGTCATTTTATTGAATATGTATTTTAGCTTTCATTTTTCCCCCAGGAGTTCCTTATTCTCTAATTGGTCATTTTTCGTATTTTACTCATTGTCTAGATGCAGTATCTTATATCTCTCAGGATATGATTACAGTTTTAATTTTTTGATAAAGTTTCCCTCTGTTTCTGCAGCCCATGCATTTTGATCTCCCCTTTCCCATGTTTGAACAGTAGAGGATTGTAAAAGTTAAGAAGCGTGGATTCTGGGGCCTGGCTCTGTTGCTTACTTGCTGTTTGACCATAGGGATTTTAATATTTATTTGCTTTGTCATCTCTGGCATAATATAGATGTATCTGCTTCATTGGGTTCCCATCAGCGTTAAGTTAATCAACGCAAAACACTTAGAACATTGCCTGCCATATAATTAGAACATTATCTTAATATGGTCTAATAATCTGATAATCCTCTCATATTCCTTTGATTAGGGTTGTCTTGCTGGGGTTTCTTAATATCTGGCGAGCCTTGGTTGTTCATATTTGAGAACTCCTAGCATCGGCGGAAGCTCTGCATAGTTGGTACATTGTGCAGGCAGGCCACGTTAATTGTTGGGCTTTTCTCTGTGTTTATAGGGTGGTAAGCCATTTCACCTGCCCATTCTCTCTCCAGTCCAGTTTAGAAACCATACTGATTTTTAAGGTAGTTAGAAATTCCTGAAAACCATATAGTATCTTAAGCAGAAAGGATAACTCATTTTCACATTTTCTTCTTGTAGCATTATTGGCACATAAAAAGGATATTTCTGGATTCATATGCCAAGATTGTGATGTAGAACAAAGAGAATAACGTTATTCATTTCGCACACTCACAGCAAAGTGTGTAGTTGTGTGGCTTCTTTGTCTTTAGCAATAAACTGATAGGCATTTTACAGAAGTAGACACCTGAGAGGGAATTGACCACCAAGGATGAATGTATACCAAAGGAAAAATGATAGGGCACAGTGGCTCATGCTTGTAATCCCAGCACTTTGGGAGGCCAGTTGAGCCCAGGAGTTTGAGACCAGCCTAGGCAGCACAGTGAAACCTCTCTACAAAAACTTTTAAAAACTTGGCTGGGCACTGGTGGTACGTGCTTGTAGTCCAAGCTACTGGGGAGGCTGAGGTGGGAGAATCTCGAGCCTGGGAGTTTGAGGCTGTAGTGAGCCACGTTTGGCTCTGCACTCCAGCCTGGGTGATAGAGTGAGAACCTGTCTTAAAAAAAATTTTTTTTTTTTTTTAAATTATAAGGCTGGAGTAAAATTTGAGTGCAATAGAAATGGAATTGTAGGTGAAATAGCTGATGTTGGACTGTGAATGCTGTTGCCATTCTGGAGACTAGATATATAGCCAGGTAAACCTTGTGAAAGCAAACTTACAAATGAGGAAAGAAATGGAAAGGACGAAGTTGTCTCCAGGGAGTGACACTAATGAAAAACTTCACATTAAAGGGACTCTTGGAGATACCTAGTGACATTGGAAGATCAAGTGATAAAATGCTGGAACCAAATCCAAACTTAGAAAGGAGTAAAGACAATTTGCCAAGGAATGGAAAAGATGCTTGTTCTGTATCATAAGTTAGAGAAGGAGAAAAAGAAGCATGTTTTTTTCATTCAGAAATGAAACACTTGATTCTCAATGTTTCTACTGTTTAATCTAAATATTACTATTTTTTGTTATGCATTGAACAGAGTTTTTAATACTTTCACACATTTTGTTGTTCAGTTTTTGTTTCTAAGGCTTAAAGATTCATACTTTTTAAAAAGGACTTTTGGACACGTTTTTTAAAGGTCACAGAACAATTGTAATTGTAAATGATTATTAAGATCACTTTGCATAGTTTCAGCAAGCAGGACATTTTTGTGGTCCTGCACTACTGTGCAAAGTGAAGACTGACTACATTCACTTTTTTAGATGAGTGTACAAAGTAACAGCTTTCTCTTTTTTGGGCAGAGTTGGGAAGAAGCTGAAAGCAGAGAACGTGGTTGCTTGCTTTGCAGGAGCAGGTCTACAGGAGCATATTGATTGCTTTCAGAGCACAATCTTGTGATGAAAACATTCAGGCATTTAATCTATTTTATAATTTATACCAGATCACAAAACTAGACTCACCTTTCTGCATATCAGCGAATCCACTTTAAAAAAAAATTTTTTTTAAAGATGGTCAGGCTGGTCTTGAACTCCCGATCTCAGGTGATCTGCCTGCCTTGGCCTCCAAAGTGCTTGGATTACAGGCGTGAGCCACCATGCCCGGCCTCAATGAATCCACTTTTTATGCTGTTGTGAAAATTTATTCATTATGATGAATTCAAGTATAATTATAATAGGTACCTTTTTCACATTGAAGACTAGATGTCAAATAATGTTCCAGAATCTTTTGGTATAAGATGGTTTTTTGTTGTTTGTTTTTTATTTTTTGAGATGGAGTCTCACTCTGTCACCCAGGCTGGAGTGCAATGGTGCAATCTCTGCTCACTGCAATTCCTCCTGGATTCAAGTGGTTCTCCTGCCTCAGCCTCCCAAGTAGCTGGGATTACAGGCATATGCCACTACGCCCAGCTAATTTTTGTAGCTTTAGTATAAATGGAGTTTCACCATGTTGGCCAGAGTGGTCTTGAAGTCCTGACCTCAGGTGATCCACTCGCCTTGGCCTCCCAAAGTGCTGGGACTACAGGTGTGAGCTACCGTGCCTGGTCTAAGATGTTTAATTGGAAGTCATTAGACCTCAACTGCACACATGTAAACTAACTCTTCTGGCCAATCAGATATTATATCTGATCATTATACTGTATATTACTTACACATTGCTGGTTGAATTACTCTCAGTACTAGATGTACAGTTCTGTTGTAGATGATGGTAGCTATGATGACACCAGAGAAAAGGCTCTTTAGCCCAACAAAAATTTTAAAAGAACATTGAAAACAAGCAGAATGGATACATAAGAATTATGGATCAGCTCATGGAAAGGCAATTTCCAACTGATGTGTAAAAGGAAAATGAACCTGTTCTATTCTGACATAAAAACAATGCACAGCATTTCACTTGCATTTTAAAAAACAGAATCAAGATTATATGCAGGATTTACAAGTATCTTACCTTATATCACAATGCAGGATTTCACTGCTGCCCACCAATGTACTCTGAATTTCTGTATCTGGGCTTTTGTGATATAAAATGGGGTGAATTTGCTGAGACTTGCCCTCAGGGTGTCCATACTTAACCAAACCCTATTATATATTGGAGGGTCTGTGGCCATTCTTCGCAAATGAAGAATTAAAAGAAACATCAAGATCCCAAGACAAAATATACCTAACTCTTTTTAAATAATGAACAATGATTTCTTGTCATTAGATGCATTCTCCCTCACTCAGGAATAAGAGATCTTTAATTAATTAATTTATTTATTCATTTATTTTTAGATGGAGTCTTGCTCTGTTGCCAGGCCGCAGTGCAGTGGTGCAGTCTTGGCTCACTGCAATCTCTGCCTCCCAGATTCAGGTGATTCCCCTGGCTCAGCCTCCTGAGTAGCTGGGACTAGAGGCGTGCACCACCACACCTGGCTATTTTTTTGTATTTTAGTAGAGATGGGGTTTCACCATGTTGGCCAGGATGGTCTCAATTTCCTGACTTTGTGATCCGCCTGCCTCCGCCTTCTAAAGTGCTGGGATTACAGGTGTGGGGCACAGCGCCCAGCCAGGAATAAGGGATCTTCAACAGTTTCTTCTTTATCCACCCAGGTCAAAGAAAAAGCCAAAGTGGTCACTATATGTTAAAATTTAGACATTAACTTTTAGTTTCTCTAACTTTAGTTTTTTAAAAAATGCCAAAATGCTCATGTTCTGGTTTTCTATGGCTTAAATAGCAATGTAGGATGGCAACATTGGCTTCTGCAGTTTTACAAAGATAAGAACTCCCTTGGCATAAAGAACAGCCAACAAAGGATCTAGCTTGATGGCAGCTGGGAACAAGTCTCACTTTCTGGAACTCATCATTTGACGCTTCAGAGGCAGCACGCTTCTTTTCATTTGCCTGCTCCATTATCTTGTGAGTTGCCTCTGTGATTTTATTTCTCCTCTTCTTGAGCCTCAGTGCCTGGTTCAATGACATCTTTATGATCAGTTCCTAGATCACTTTCCTTTCCTGCTGGCTCTTCTGTAAGGATTCCTTTGACTTCCTTCCTTCCACCTACTCCCCTCCTTGGCATTCTCTTTAAGAAGCTAAGGCTCCATGAGGAAGAGATGGTATTGGATTCCTCGTGCCCTCCACCCTTTCCTCAGGGACGTGCAGCACCTAGGGGTGCGGGAGACCAGATTTCTGCTAACATAGCCCCACCCGGTCATTTGCTCACTCTACAGAGATCTGTGACCCACGTAGCCATGCAGAGGTGGGACAGAAGATGCAGAGGCTGAGCGGAAGCTGAGGTGGCTGCAGCTCTGAAGCAGGTGCTAGCTCAGCAGGATGAGGTCCAGGAAGAATGGTTCATGGCAGGAAGGGGAAACGGAAACTGACTTCCCCACCTCATTCCTTAAAGGTCTCTCAGATGGTACTATGGGGGTAGGGGGCTGTCTCTAAAGAAGTTTCATTGTTTTTCCAGAGGGGAACACTCCATCTTGAAACCTAGGGTAATAATGTAGTATATGTGTGGGTGGGCACCTGGGCTAGTGGTTCAGCCTTCTTTTTGTAGATTTTCACAGATTGTTTTCAGCTCCATGCCTGGCTCATACCTTGTGTTTTAGTATCCTTGAGCCCTGGGATTCTCCTCTTTCCCCAAGAATAATCTCCCAGCCTCTAGTGCGGGGGAGATGTTATAAACCTGGCTCCTGGTGTGTGTGTGTGTGTGTGTGTGTGTGTGTGTGTGTGATTAGTCCTACCCATGCCCAATTTCAGTCCTCTCCTTCACATCCCACTCTGTCTCAGAGTCCTGAACCTCTACCTAGAGTTCTGGAAAACGCTGTGCTCAGAGGCATTCCATCAGCTTGCATTTAGTGGTTCCTGCCATCCTTTTCCATCAACTTTCTATCTCCTAAACACACTTCCAGTGTTTATCTATTGGTAACATTTTCCTTCCACTCTCTCAGTGGTGGGTTTTGTATCCCTTTGTGATCCTTTATTAGTATTAGGAAGGCAGAGCAAACAATTGTATGCAATTAGCTCCCCATCTTTATCTGATTTCTCACATTGCTTTATATCACAAGGATTTCAACCAGTGGACTCGACCAGAAATGAGAAAAGTGAGACTTGGCTTTAAAGTAATATTTTATTTCTCTGGGCTGTGCACACTTAGGGCGTTACATCCACAGATGGGCTTCTCCGCTGGGATGCTACTTGTGGCGATCATCTTCTCCCAAGCCCCACATTTTTGCGTTGTACAGAATGATGTCACTGCAGACCCTGAAGTAATTCAGCCTGCGGTCATGGCGTTCTGGATTGACCTAGAAAAGGAGGATGTAGGTTCAGAATGAAGCCTGTGAGGACACAGGAGGACCTGGGTTTGGAGTCAACGGACCTGGCTTCTATCAGGCTCCACTCTCCCAACCTGGGCTGCATTGTGGATGGAGATGACCACATGTCCATCAAAAGAGTTGTGAAGTGGGAGGAGAATAACCCGCGCACAGCTATGACCCCTCCTGTCCCACTGCCTGACTTGAAGTCCACACCTGCGGACTGTTTCCCCCATTAGAATGAACACGGCATGAGGGGAGGTGCTGTATCTGCCTTAGTGTATCCTCAACACCTAGAGCAAGACCCAGCGCACATTAGGTATTCAATGTGTATGTGTTGAAAGAATGACTTTGTTTAAGGAGTTATGTAGAACCTGAGTAAAAGTCAGCACTCTGACACATCAGTCTTATAGAAGTTACACCATGCAAATAATTTTAAAAATGTATTTCCAGAAAATGTTACCAGGAGATGAGAGGCTAAGTGATGGTCATTGAGTCTGGCTTTGCCAGTGTGCCAGTACTGAGGTTGGAGGTATCTTGTTTATCCAAGGTGAGACCCTGCCAGGGAGCAGGGAGCTTCAGGTTGTGGCTGATCAAGCCTCTTCTGCCCCAACTACTTCATTCTGTAGCTCCAACTTAATTACCTCTTTTGGTTGTGCAACACCTGCATCTGATGGTTTTTGGGGTATACTTTCTTTCTATGCTAGCAGTGCCCTTTGATGGCACTGTCCCCAGGTTTATCACGATGAACAGCATGGAGTATTTGCAGACCCTTTGCAACTCCAGAGTGCTCACTGATCTGGACATACATGCAGTCTGTGATCTGCAGAGCCTACGAAGGTCCCAGCAGGGCAGGCCACACTTGTCTTTCCTGTCACCGTAAGCATGAGATGTGTCCTGGAGGGTCAAAATGCAACATCTCCACATGCACACTTTGTACTTGTGTGAGCCAGGTCTTTACTCTTTAACAAAATGAAGAATGGTGAGTTAATTTACTTGTGTGTTGCAATATTTTTCTAAGTTGCTTCATGATCTGTCTTGGCTGATTTCTATCTTCATGCCAACACTCCTTCCTTCACAACCTTTCTTCTCCCCAGCAAAGATTCTTTCCTTGAACAAACTCTACTCAGGCTCCCTAAAGTACTTTTCAACTAGGTGTGATGTTGGGATTTCCATTTCCTCTGCATTGTCCAATTCTAGCAAAAATCCTGCTAAGGTGATTTAACCAGAAGCCCCCAACGTTTAACGTCTGATCACCATTGATATCTGATTGGGTTCCTCATTCTCCACCACTCTCCAGGTGATGTCTGATCCTGCTGGCCTGCCTTCAGCAAGCACCCTGTTAGGTGGAAGTTAGCCAGAATCTGCCCCTCCCCCTGATGTTTCCTCCTAGTATTTTTCCATCACTGACCCTGACCTTGCTCCTTGGCTACACACTCGCAATTGCGCATGCTGCTGTCAAAGTTGAGGCCAGTCTCCCTCCCTCCCTCACCGCAAAACCCTGTAGTGATGCCGATGCCTTTCACAGTAGTTTCCTCACTTGAAAAAGTCTTCTTTCTGGTTTTTAAATTTTAAATTTATTTTTTTCCACTAGCACTTTCAGTACCATTCCTTCTGGTTTTTAACAATCATCGACTATTGGTTCCTTATTCATATATATATTCAATAACTGTCATTGAATACGTATTTTAACACTTTTATTCATGTTGGACCGCCCCACCTCCTCTTTCTCTTTGAATGGTTATCTTCTACAGCTCTCTAACCACATCTCTCCCTTTGTACCAAGTTCCTCCTTGTAGGTGTGTATATATGTATATATACGTGTGTGTACATACATAGGTAAATACCAAAAAAAAAGAGTGAAGAGGAAGTAAGGAAAAAAAAGCTAGGGAAAAATATATAATAGTTGCTTGGTAATGTGGGTGTTGAAGATTTTCCTAAGCAAGGCACAAAACTCAGAAACCATAATGAAAATGAGTGGTGTATTTGATGACTTAAAAATGAAAACCTTCTGCATGATCAAAGACATAAGCAGATTTAAAGACTTGTCCAATATATGGCAGAAACTTCTTTGACTCATGTATTCTATATTGTACATTTCTCCCTTAAAAACAGAAGTGCTGTATTCCTGAGGGTGATTGTGTGCTAAAGGGGCTAATTGTGCCCTTCCAATCAAACAGGGAGAGGACCCTTACTCACTTGTCCATTTTTTATGTTTTTAAATTTTTTATTTTTAAAATGTTATTTATTTATAGTTTTTTAGTTAATTAAATTTTTTTTGAGACAGAGTCTCACTCTGTTGCCCAGGCTGGAATGCAATGGTGGGATCTTGGCTCACTACAAACTCCGCCTCCTGGGTTCAAGTGATTCTCCTGCCTCAGCCTCTTCAGTAGCTGAGATTACAGGCATGTGCCACCATGCCTGGCTAATTTTGTATTTTTAGTAGAGATGGGGTTTTGTCATGTTGGCCAGGCTGGTCTTGAACTCCTGACCTCAGGTGATCTGCCTGCCTCAGCCTCCCAAAGTGCTGGGATTACAGGTATGAGCCACTACGCCCAGCCATATGTCCATTTTTTATGGATAAGGAATCAGAACTCAGAGATACTGAGTGGCACACCCACGACCACCTTGCTGATACCTGATGGAGCTGACTCAGGTATCTGTCATGAGCACCGTTATTTAAGCAGCAAAGACGCAGTGTCTACCATGTGCCAGGCACTGTTCCAGGTACTGCACAAATAACACCTCGTTTCATCCTCATAACAAGCTTATGAGACAGGTACTGTAATAGCTCCATTTTACAACAATTAAAATGAGTCATAAGAGAGCTTAGTAACTTACCCAGTTGGTAAGAGGTAGCCAGATTCAAGCCCAGGCATGTCGGGCCCCTGCCCTATTCTATGGTCACCACCTACATTGCCGCTGTGTTTCCTTGTGTTTTCTGAGGAAGGAGCCAGGCTTACCAAGGGCTCTAAGTACCATCCAACTTCCTGGTTTTCAGTCTGTGTCTCTGGGTGCTTCTTCCTTGGTCCCTGGGCAGCATGGTGAATGAGATTCAGAAACCTGGCTGGGAGACGAGGCACGAGTTATGAAGGAGTCAGGCTCTGGGACCAGAGGTTGGTGCTGTGCCCTTTCCTGCGTCCACATCGTTCCTTCCAGGCAGAGCATCTGGGCCTCGGAGGTTTGCCTAGGCCTCGAGACAGGGGTGTCTGGTCCCTCCACTCATCTGTCAACAAATACATGGTGAGCTCAAACTCTGTGCCAGGCATGGTTCTGGGCGCGGGGCATGCAGTGCTGAGTGACAGTATGGTCCCTGCTCTCCTAGAGCTCATAGTCTAGATGGGGCGGAGGACACAGTACACAGGTTTACAAAATGACGCGACGGTGGCAGACAGGGATATGCGCTGTGAAGAAAGGAATAGGCAAAGGGTCACGTGCAGGCAAGGGCAGCTGCTGCAGATGGGGCGGTGAGAGAAGGCCTCTCTGGATGCCAAGCAGGAGCCAGCCCTGGGAAGAAGCGGAGAAAGAGCACACCACAGGCAGCAAGAGCAAAGGCCCCGAGGCCTGCGCGAGTTTGGCCAGTGTAGCACAACAGAGAGCGAGACGCAACGTTGTAAGAAGCGAGGTCATCTCTTACTTCCTTGAGCAATGGTTTGTAGTACTGTTTAGAGTGTAAATTAGTTCAACCATTGTGAAAGACAGTGTGGCGATTCCTCAAGGATCTGGAAATAGAAATACTATTTGACCCAGCAATCCCACTCCTGGGTATATACCCAAAGGATTATAAATTGTTCTATTATAAAGACACATGCACATGTTTGTTAATTGCCTCACTGTTTACAATAGCAAAGACTTGGAACCAACCCAAATGCCCATCAATGATAGGCTGGATAAAGAAAATGTGGCACATATACACCATGGAATACTATGCAGCCATAAAAAAAGGATGAGTTCATGTCTTTTTCAGGGACATGGATGAAGCTGGAAACCATCATTTTTAGCAAACTAACACAGAAACAGAAAACCAAACACTCATAAGTGGGAGTTGAACAATGAGAACACATGGACTTAGGGAGGGAATATCACACACCAGGGCCTGTTGGGGGTTGTGGGGGCTAGGGGAGGAATAGCAGGGGGTGGGGGGATTGGGGAGGGATAGCATTAGGAGAAATACCTAATGTAGATGACGGGGGGATGGATGCAGCAAACCACCATGGCACATGTATGCCTATGTAGCAATCCTGCACAATCTGCACATGTACCCCAGAACTTAAAAGTATTAAAAAAAAAGTAAGGTCAAATCCTTGTGTATTAAATAAGTATGGCTGCCGACACCAGATGGATCTGCAGCTCCGCAGTTCTCCTGCCCTATCAAGTCTCCACCGAGGCAGGCAGACGGTGGGATGAACCTGGCTTTGGAGTCAGTGCTACTGTTGGCTTGCCAGGCGGCATCACTTCTTTGGACCATACTTCACTCATCTGTGAAATGGGAGGAAAATATCTACTCAGCAAGATGGCTGGGAATGAAATGAAGGAAGGTGACTCAAGGGGCTGCCACTGGGCTGGCACATCCTTTGTGTAGGGGAGAGAGCAGCTAACTCCTGCCTGGCTTTCAGTCCCTCATTTCCTCTTCTATTCCTTATTGCTGCAGGTTCTCAGCTTGCACCCTTTACCCTAGTCAGGAGAGTGCACTACAGATAACACCTTACTGCCTGTGACCACCCCTCTATTAGTCTGTTGACTTGTCTGCCTCCTTCATAACGCTCTGAGATCCTCTGCTCCCTCATTTCCCATCCCAGCCACGGTCATCCCTCCTTCACCAAATTTTGCTCAAGGAAGGTAGAGAGGAAGAAGGAAAGCTTTCCAAGAGGGATCAGGTTTTCCACCAAATATCCCTCCTCCCTCATTCCCAAATAGGGCCCTCTCTCCACCTGTATGTTATGGCCATGCCAGACTACTTGCAGTCGTGTTTCCCACGTCTGTACCTTTCTATAGAACTCAGGATGTTCTTCCACAATCTTCTCCACCTCACCCTGTGGTCACCTCCTCCAAGATGTCTTCCCAGAACTCCACTGCCTGACCGAGGCACCTGTTTCCTATGCTGTTCTCACAGCAGTCATGGTCCCTGTTGACTTGTCTCCTTATTTCCAAGTCTACTTCTCTTCTTCGTTATGCTACAAGATCACCCCACCCAGCCCCAGCGTAGAGACTACCTAATAATGAAAATAACCACGGGACTAATATTTCCTGATGACCATGTACCAGCTACTGTTCTATGCACTGGCATTGTTTTGTTTAATCCTCACATCATCCCTGAGAAATAGGCTAAGAGAAGTGAAAAACCTACTCAATACTACAGTTAATGAGTAGCAGAACCAGGATTAGAACTGAGTTAGCATGGCTTCAGAGCTTGTGCTTGCAACACCAACGTGTTTGATGAATGAATGAAAGCAATGTTGAGGCCAGCAGGAACATTAGTTGGCTTGACAGTTATAGTTGAATATGTCCATCTTTAAAAAATTGTATTTAATTTTTTAAAAAAATTCTTTTTTATTCTATCTGCCACAGACTGTCTGAGTGTCTGTTGTCTTTTTTTCGAGCTTGGCTAGTGAAAACCCCATTTCCTAGGATCAAAGCAGAGGACTCTGATGCTTGCTCCAAGGTATCACTACCCTGAGAGGTCTCCCCAGCCAGTCTGCCTCTCTGGGCTCTATCTCAATGGCATTTCAAACCCCAGGACTCACCATCTGCAGGTTCCTCCAGGTTATCATGCCAAGACATGGGCTTCCTGGTGACTGTGTGAACTAGAAAAAAAAAAACAGCATCACAGATTCAGATTAAAACATGAATTCCCTGCCTTCTCTAAGACCCACCTTAAACAGGGCACTCATTTGGCACTCACCGAATGTCTGGTCCATGCCAGGTATTATCCTGGGTGCTAGGATAATACATGATTTGATAAGGCCCTCAAGAACCTCACAGTCTAGAGTGGAACTGCCCAAAATAGTGGTCACCAGCCACATGCGGCTCCTTGAATTTGAATAACTGAAGTTAAATACAATGAACACTTCAGTTCCTTAATCACATTAGTCACACTGCCAGTGCTCAACAGCCACATGCGGTTAACGGCTACAGTTTTGACTGCAGCCAAGACAGAGAACATTTTCATCACTGATGAATTATCTTGGACAGTGCTGGCCTATGGGGAAGGCCAAAGAGGTTTGCCAGGCAGTGATCTATGCTCAGGAGGGCACGTGGTAACAGAGGAGCAGCACCCACATCCATCCACCCCCCTCGTAATTGCTATACACTGGAGAACAGGCTGTAAACAAGACAGAGCTCCTGTGCCTCCAGAGCTTTTAACACTATTTGTGGCGACAGACAAGAAACATATATATATTACCAGGCAAATATCAATGTGATGGAGAGCAGTAAGGCAGGTTACGTGGATGGAGAGTTGGCATTGGGCCTGGGGTATGGGCGATGTATCTCTAGGGAGATACATATGAGCAGAGTTTTGAATGAAGTGAGGGAACGTGCTGTGCTGTGGGAAACATATGAATGTGAGCCTGGGGAGTTTGAGAAACGTCAAGAAAGCCAGAGTGGGTCCAGGGGAGTGAGCTGGATGGACAGTAGTGGGAAATGAGCAGACACTAATAGAAACCAGTGGCCTCCATGCTGCTTGTCTCAAACTCCTACCAGTAAAAGAACTTTAGAGCATGCGCCCTTAATAGATGCACAATTACATGATCTTTATGTACTATTATCGGTATATTAGCAAAGAAAATTTCCATCTTTATATATGAAAGTAATCAATACAAGTTGTAATATTATCTCACTTTACACCAATGGCTCATATGCTTAAGCAACAGGAGCTGGGAGACAGCATTTTCCCTAGAGAGCGTGAAGGTTGCCTGAAGAGATTGTTTCCATTGTCGGAATGGACCCAGTTTGAACGGCTTTGGACACTAATTTGCTTTCCTGAAACTAGCGGTTGGGGGTTCCAGAAAAAAACTAAGTTAGTTAGAAGGAAAGTGAAGACAGCACATTTTCTCTATAGAGCCAGGCAACAAAGTGGACTTTACTTACCAGGCACAGAGCTGGAGATACATTCAGGAAGAAGCCACAGTGTTTATGCAAGTAAAGTGCGAAATGATATGATGCATTTAGGAAATCCATATATTTAGAAATGGCAGGGGAAAAGGAGTATGCGTGGGGTTCATCAGTAATGGCTGGTGCAAGTAGGCACCGAAGTATTTCTTAAAGGAGCAGGGTAAAGTGGGGAAGAGGAGTATGGGATGATGCTGGCAGGAACCAGAGGCAGATCCAATGCGCCTTATGCCCTGATTGATTTAAATTTTACCTCAGAAGCTATGAGAAGGATTTTCAGTGGGATCGATGTGCTCTAATAGTCCTCCTAGCATAGCGCTAGCTAGCAAGAGTGTAGGGGTTTGGTCGGAGGGGCCACCTTGGAGGGAAGGAGAAGGAGTTGGGAGTCCATCAGACCCCATCCAGGCAGCAAGCACGAGGGCCCTGCAGAGGCTTCAGGAGTGAGGATGCAGGCAGAGGCAGTTTGAGATGCTTCTTAGAGCATGAAAATACCTGAGCAGAGGCAGAGAGGAATCAATATACATGATGGTGTCTTTCATTGAGGCAGGAACAGGTGGGTCAGGGGAGAGGAACGTTAATAAGCAGGATCTGTGCCTTTTTAAAATGTGTGGAGGGAGGGAGACCTTGAGGAGGACACGTAGGCTTCTAGTGATCATTAGAGTGAATGATCCAGATCACCAGAGCGAATCATCGGGGCCTTTTGCAGAGACAGGGTATTCTGGAGCAGCAGAGAGTGGGGAAGGTGGGAATGAACCTGGCTTTCCTCCTGCTGTATGTGAGGTGCCTGTAGGTTGTCCCGGAAGGGGAGCTGGGAGGTGGTTTGGCCGTGTGGCTCTGAAGTGCTCCATTTCAGGCCCAGCGGCATTCAGGGGAAGCTGATGTGAGAGGACAGATCAGACCGCAGGGCGCACAGTGACAAGAGTGGAGGATAGGGCTGTTTTATCAGGGAGCACCCAGGAACTTTCCGAAGGACAGTATCAGAAGCCTGAAGAAAAACCTTTCACTTTTTACAAACAACCCCAAATACAAACAAAAACAAAACACAAACAGCCTGAAAAATTCCTTCAAAAATAAAATCATAAAAAGCTATACAACCTTCTTTTTCCTACAACTAAAAGATTTAATCGTCATGCGCATGAACTTTTAGGTAGTGAATGCATCTGATATGATGTGGCCCCTCCAAAGTCATGGTTCCTGAAATCTAGGAAAGGGGGCGGGTGCTGGGGAAAGAGTCTTCTTTGCTGGGACCGCCTTCCCACCCCAAGGCTCGGAGTGCTCCTCCTTCCCCGGTGCCCTCCCGCTCTCGCCCTTCCCGCACCCCGCCGCGCCCCTCACTCTTGCGGAAGGGATTCACGTGATACTGCGTGTAGAGTTTCTGGGTTCGCAGCTCTTTGAGGTACAGTTCCCTCAAGATCTGGTTCTGATGGACCTCATCTGGAATCACCTTCTCGCTTGGATGTCGTGCCATGGCCTTGGGCTGTCCCGTGCCCTCTCGCCTTTACCTGCGTCCTGGGCCTTCTGCCGTCTCCAGGCAACGCTTCCCCACGGTCTCCAGGCAACGCGTCCCCGCGTCTCCAGGCAACGCTTCCCCACGGTCTCCAGGCAACGCTTCCCCACGGTCTCCAGGCAACGCGTCCCCGCGGTCTCCAGGCAACGCTTCCCCACGGTCTCTAGGCAACGCTTCCCCACGGTCTCCAGGCAACGGCGTCCCGCGGTCTCCGGGCAACAGCGCTCGGGTAGCGCTGCCCGGTGGTCTCACTCGGCCAGCCCATTCCCCTGCCTGCATCGCCCCGCCCAGCGCCCGCCTGTCGGGATCTTATTTCGTACCCCGCCCTTTTCTGGCACTGGACTCACCTGCCCTAGCTTCTCAGGCCCCGGCTGGTTTACCGCCAGGAAACGTCTTCCCGGCAAGGGGCAGACCCAGTAGGTAAGGGACAGATGATTGGACCTCATCTTGGCCAATCATTTCCTAAAAAACCTTTTGGAAGGCGTCAGAAGTTTCTCCCACCTTAAAGCAAATGCCCAGAATCAAAACCTCACAAAAAACCCAGAGATTTCCTCTCTGAGAAAACGTTTTGGCCAATGTGGCCCAGATTACCGATGTGATAATATAGACAGAAAAAACATTTCCTAATGAAGGAACTTGTTGCCTTTATAGTTTGTTTATTTTTAATGTTTGTGTTTAAAATGCACAGAATTTTACCATCTTAGCTATTTTAAGTATTACAGTACAGTAGTATTAAGTATATTCAAACTGTGTGAGACTAATCTCCAGAAGTTTTTCACACCCATTAAACAAGTTTCCCGTTTCCCTTCTCTCCAGCCCCTGTCATTTGATTTTTTGTTTCTGTGAATTTAAGTCTTCTAGATATCTTAAATAATGTAGTTTATTTTAAAAGAATCGCCGGGCTCGGTGGCTCACGCTTGTAATCCCAGCACTTTGGAAGGCCAAGGCGGGTGGATCATCTGAGGTCCAGAGTTCGAAACCAGCCTGATAAACACGATGAAACCCCATCTCTACTAAAAATACGAAATTAGCCAGGCATGATGGCCTTGCCTATAATACTAGCTACTCGGGAGGCTGAGGCAGGAGAATTGCTTGAACCTGGGAGGCAGACGTTTCAGTGAGCCAAGATTACATCATTGCACTCCAGCCTGGGTAACAGAGCAAGACTCCATCTAAAAAAATAAAATAAATAAAAATTAAAAAGAATCAAAAGTAGGTCTAGCATGGAGAAAGAAGCCACCCCTGGTTTTAGTAAGCACCTAAATACTGACTGAAGACTGTGTTCTTCCCCACTCAGTACTTCATTCATTCATTCACTCATTGCAGAATGTTTTTAGTCTGGAACACGGTGTTGAGCTTTTTGGTATTGGATCGTTTGTCTTTATCAATTTGTTGGAGTTCTTAATGTATTATTTTGAGGGCTGTATGTGCTGCAAATTTATTTTCCCTCTGTGTGACTTGCCATTTTAGTCTCTTAATGGTGTCTTTTCGACACCAAAATTTAGATGTAGTCAAATATATTAGTCTTTTCGTTTATGATTATTGCTTTTAAATTTTCATTTAAGACATCTTTTTCTAATTTGATGACCTGAAGTTATTTTTTATATTACTTTTTAGCAGTGCTGTTCCATGAAAGTATGAGCTGAGCCACTCATGTAGTTTAAAACATTCTAGTATCTGCATTAAGAGAGCAAGAATTAGATAAAACCAATTTTAATAGTGTGATATTTAACTCAGTATATGCAAATTGTCAATTATTCAGTGTTTGAATATACAAATTATTGAGATATTTTACATTGTTTTATCGTACTGATTTCAAATCCAGTGCAGGTTTTATACTTCATAACACATCTCAAGTGCTCCATAGCCATCTGTGGGCAGAACTATTCATATTTAAGAGGATTTGTTCTTTTACTCTTTCTCAGTGAGATCTGTGTTCCACCTGAAATTGATTTTCAAGTGCAGCGTGAGGTGGGAATCTAGCTGAATATTTTCTTTCCAAAGGAGTATCCAGTTGACCCAGCACCAACTTATTGAAGAGACAGTCCTTCCTCAATGCTCTGGTGTGATTCTGTGGCCATAAAGTGTCCCTATATGTGAAAGTTCATTTCTGGACTCTATTGTGTGCCATTGGTCTATTTGTCTAAGCTGACAACAGTACTACATTGTCTTTTTTTTTTTTTTTTTTTTTTTTTTTGAGACGGAGTTTCGCTCTTGTTACCCAGGCTGGAGTGCAATGGCGCGATTTTGGCTCACCGCAACCTCCGCCTCCTGGGTTCAGGCAATTCTCCTGCCTCAGCCTCCTGAGTAGCTGGGATTACAGGCACGCGCCGCCATGCCCAGCTAATTTTTTGTATTTTTAGTAGAGATGGGGTTTCACCATGTTGACCAGGATGGTCTCGATCTCTTGACCTCGTGATCCGCCCACCTCGGCCTCCCAAAGTGCTGGGATTACAGGCTTGAGCCACCGCGCCCGGCTACATTGTCTTAATTACCATAATTTATGTAACAAGTTCTAATACTTGGTAGGGAAGACTGTCTTCTCAGGAGAGTCTTGCCTCTTCTTGGTCCTTTGCATGTCCGTATAAATTATAATCAGCTTGTCAAGTTCTCTAACAATATCTGTTGGGATTTTTATTGAGATTATATTGAATCTAGACATCAGTTTGAGGAGAGCACTTCTTAATGTCATGTGTTCCTCTGATGATATCATTTGCTCAGGATCTGGACACATTCTTGCCTTCTAGACTGCTACCTTTCCCATTCTGAAGTAGCAGCACCGGCTGGGCAAGAGGCTCAACCCTCAGAGCTTTGAAGTGAGTGCAATGGAGAGACCCTTCCCTTTTTGCAGGAGGCACCTCTTAAGTGCAGAAAGCCCTTGGCATGGCCCTGGAATCCTAGGATGAAGAAAACAGAGTCTGGGAGGAACCAGACCAAAGAAAACAAACAAACCTGAATCCCCATCTGTCTACAGCAGGGGCCTTGTGCCCTGTGTGTGAGTTCTCAGGGGTTACACTCACTTGAATGCAGGGCAGATCAACAGGACTTACCCTCCAGAGAATACACTAGATTCTTTCCACTCCTCACTCTCCTCTTCATTCTCTGTCACTGGCCCTGCAGTTTGCTCTGTGGCTACAGACGAAGCTCCATGGAGAAGCCAGTTCAAATGTAGAGAGGCTCATACAGGCTGGCTGACCAGGCAGGAGAGGAAAGGAGTAGACTGTCGAGAAAAAGGAAATCTCTGGCAGCTGAAGAGTATTACCCAGATGGGAATGGAGACAAAATTGGGATAGTAGCGAGGTAACCATGATCTGGTCATGGAAAAGGGGTCCTGTCACTTACCAAGGCTGAAGGTGAAGTTTGCTGTTGTCTTGCATTCTGCATATCTACCAGGCCAAGCTACTGGGAATCCACAGTCCTGGCAATTCAGAACCACCGCAGAACTGTTCCAGCAGGAGGGAAACCATCTCTCCAGGATGAGAGCTGTGAATTGTCATGTCTGGTTGGGGACGGCTCGATTGGGAGTGGGAGTTAGAGTACAGGGGACTAGAAAGAAGGGCTAGGAGGAGGAGCAGGGGGAAAAGGAGGGGAGTATGAAATTTGAAACCCCGATGAACATGGCGGCAGCAGATGCACGGTTTAAAACCAAAAGAGGAAGATCGGGGCAGATCCTTGCGTAGCGTAGCGGGTGGGGCTGACGTTATTCAGAGAGGAGTAACAGGGAAGAACCCTGAAAAAGTGGGATGGCACAGGAGACTAGGGTGCAGGCAGGCTTGACCACTAAGGAAAAATGGTAGAAAGGAGGGCTGGGTGGAGACAGCATTAAGGAGCAGAAAATGTGAAGTCCGGGGTTGAGAAAGATAAATTTGAGGTAGCTTTCTTAGCATTCTTTCAAATGGGAGCTCTAGTTACTTGTCCAAATGAGACCAAATGAGTCACCGGGATGTGGCCAGACCTACTCCAGCATTTATCTCACACAGAGCCCTCACATCATCCCAAACTGAATGCCCATTATGAAATGTACATCCCTTTGGTCTAGTGAGCAGGTCCTGCCAATCGGTGAAATGGTACCAGTTTCTAGGGTTAAGAGTGGCCATGGGAAATGGCAAAGAAGAAATGGGGCTGTAGTATTAATCCTTGTTCTTGGGATACCATATAGTTTTACCCTCAGTAGGCCAAGATTGACCAAAGGGCTAGGATAGATTTAGAGGGCTGGAGCCTAGAAGAGCAGTACTGAAGCAGGAACTGGGGAAATGGGAAGAAATCAGTGCCCCAGTCTCCTTCCCTGACCACACTGTTCAAAGCCCTTTTCATTGCATTTATATCGCTGCATGAATATGTATAATTAGAGATATCATGTCCATTTTATCATGAGGATGGTGAAGGCCAGAGAAGGAAGTTCCGCAGGTGGGCAGGGGGTGACAAAGCAGACGGTACTAGAACCTGGGCCAAAAGAGGGGGCAGGTAGGAGGGAGCACATGGCACAAAAAGTACACAGGAGCATTGCCTCCTCCTGGGTGCCTGAAAAGAATCCTGCAGGGGGCGCTTCAGAGCAGAACGGAACTTTGCCGCGCATACAGTCTTGGTTCCTGTGTTCCCTTGGTTCGATGCCTTGCTCTTGACTGGAACCATAACCATAGGGCCGAAGCTGGCAGGATGACTGCCCACTCCTGATGCCGAATGACTAGATTTGGACTTCCTTGCTCACTACCTGAGATGCCTGTCTCCATGTCAGATAATTAAGAAGAGGGCACCCTCCCCGTTTCTTTAGTCTGATAAAGCAACTCCCTCTGCTAAATATTCCTGGTTTCTTTGATCACCATCCAAGTCTTAAGTCCCTTTGCTTGTCTATTCTGTCTGGTATTTTTATGGCCATAATATTATGGTTGTTCTTTCTTGACTCATCACCCTTTTCCTCCCTTACTTTCAGTTGTTCTCTATATAATTTCAGCTGCATGATTAGCAAACTTCCCTATTTCCTTAGAATGCTTCTTTATGGACAGTTCATTGCATCTCTGGGCT